TCTATGATAGTGACTAGGGGTGTGCGATAGACTTACCTCTCCACGTGGTGCACCCTGGGCAACGTATGCGTATGCCATATTCGACCACTTCACAGTACTCATCTTACCTCTCCTCTGCCTTTGTGTCTGCCTGTCGCGTTTCCATCTTTGAATCACTCTTCTGTACTCCACCTCTCGACTTTTTCTCGCTTTGTTGCTCCTCCTTCCCTCTGTGGAGCCCAAAGTCAGCTAAAGGGCTAATAATAAGTAGCATGAAGCTCACCATTTGAAATAAATAAATTAATGATAGTAACTATGGCGCTGCGTTTAACACCTGAAAGTTCGTACAGGAAGCCAGTAAATTAGACAGGAAGCGAATTTATTGCGACATTCCAGGCCTTTAACCAAAACTTCGGAAGTGCTGAAGTTGACACCCCCGTCCTCCCCCCACCCCCNCCCCCCCCCCCCCCCCCCCCCCCCCCCCCCCCGACTAGACTACTTCACTTTTTGTTTCCTTTTGAGCAGCGGTTCAGGTGGTATGCTTTCACAACTTGTTAACTTTACTTGCCAGACCCAGAGATCGATATTTCATGCGTAGATTAATTTTCCTTTAATGACCTGAGATGATTCAAAGTCATTAAAAATCATACAGCACTAAGTGGGTTTGGTGCAATCCTGGGGACGGAGATTTTTCGGCTGAATTACAAACTTATAGTGCCCTGCAAACATTGCTCAAGGTCATGCAGATTAATGCTTTTGCTACATTATGTTCAATTCCCCAGGTATTCTTTTTAATATGCTAGAGTGCATTTCTCAGGTCAGTCTGTCTGTACCTAAACTTTCACTTTGCATGGTGATCCTCTGAAGTCACTTATTAAAGTAAGAGTTGAAATATCCCTCTAGTCAAGATCAACAGTAGTCTGGTATTGTCTAGCAAGAACGCATACCATGCCAATCGATGCGTCTCCTCCCTTCTGGCGTTTGATTGTGGAATAGATACGCGAAAGCAATTAATGACACTTTTATTGCATGCCATTGGAAGTGAATGCTAACGTGGCATTACTCTAACAATCCAAACGCCCCCCCCCCCGCCCCATTCGGCTGAAGACGCAAATTTTGCGAAGTCAACTTCGATACGATGCTTTTGTTTTAAATGAACTTACTAAAATCAAAAAGAAGCCCCCACCCGCGCCTCTGAGAAAATGTCGCATCCCCCCCCCCTCAC